GGCAGTGACCCCCACCCACAAATGCCCCTCCCCACTGGAAAGCCCTGGGACGCTTACCTTGCAGAGTAGGCTCCTAGGGTTCGGGTCCCATCCAGACAGCAGCTATGGGGGAAAGGAGAGCAGGAAGGGGGGGTCAGGGCGAAATCCCCTTTGCTGGCGCCCCCACCCCACCCCTGGTCCTCTTCCACCCAAAGCCCTCTTTCTGCCCTGGGGGGGTCCCACAGACCACCCCTCCCCACCAGGTAGATCAGCACGGAGATCACCCCCTGTTGCAGGAGGGGGAGGCCCACGGGGGGGGGCGGCTGCCAACCCTCCCTGCTCTCTCCTTCCAGGGAGGCGAGGGGAGGGCGACCCTTGGCCCTAAGGACCCCCCCACCCGGGGGTCTGCAGGCCGGGGATCCCCCCCCACCTGAGGGACGGAGCAGCCCCCCCCCAAAGAAGCTTTGCCCCAGGAGCCTCCTCGGAGGGGGGGGGAAGAAAGGGAAGGCATCCCTCTCCCTCCGCTTACGCATCTGGGGAGGGAGGGATGGAGGGAGGGGGCTCCACAAATAGACAGACCCCCCCCCGCGAGGCGCGACCCTGGAGACGCGGGGGAGGGGAGGGGGCTGTGTTCTCCAGGGTGGGGCCTCGTGGCAGGAGGGGGGGAGATGGGGAGGGGGGCTCCGAGGCCCAGCAGCAGCCCCCCCCCACCCCACGGACAGAGAGGCGCACCAGACTCTGCCCCCCCTTGGAAGGAGGGGGTGGAAAGGGGGGGCGCCAGAGGGAGCCCCCCTCCCCTCCTCCCGGGACCCCCGATCCTGCCCGCGGTGGGGCCCGATCCCCCCCCCCCCGGGGCGATGCCCCCCACCCCCCCTCTCTCTCCTCTCGCCCCCCCCCCCGCCGGGCACCTGAGTGTCGCCGCCTCCGCTGCCGCCGCCGAGCCGCCATTTTCCTTCCTCCGCCGCCGCCGCCCGGCCAGGCCACGCCCACGGGGCGGGCCCCCTCCCGCCGCAGTCTCCGCCCCCACCTGCCAGCCCCGCCCCCCGGCACCTCCCAGGTGCGGCTGAGGCCTCTCTGCGCGTGCGCGGGGAGCCCGCGGAGGGCAGGGCGCCTCTGGGCATGGGCAGAGGGCGGCGGGGAGCAGCGGGCGGGCCAGGAGCCCGGACCCCGCCTCCTGGGGGTCTCGGGGACAGGACAGCTGCGCAGGAGTTGGGGGGCTGCGAGGTTTTTCCGTCTCTTCCAATCCAGCAGGAGCTCATCTTTCCCTCCTCCCGATTCTTAGCTTTCCTTACTGGGATTCTGTGAACCGCACTGGGACCTCTGGCCTTATGCAAATTTGATTAATAATAACAACAATTAATAATCATCACATCACCTTGCCAACAAAGGTCCGTATAGTTAAAGCTCTGGTTTTCCCAGTAGTGATGTATGGAAGTGAGAGCTGGACCATAAAGAAGGCTGATCGCCGAAGAATGGATGCTTTTGAATTCTGGTGCTGGAGGAGACTCTTGAGAGTCCCATGGACTGCAAGAAGATCAAACCTCTCCATTCTGAAGGAAATCAGCCCTGAGTGCTCACTGGAAGGACAGATCCTGAAGCTGAGGCTCCAAGACTTTGGCCACCTCATGAGAAGAGATGTCTCCCTGGAAAAGACCCTGATGCTGGGAAAGATGGAGGGCACAAGGAGAAGGGGACGACAGAGGATGAGATGGCTGGACAGTGTTCTGGAAGCTATAAACATGAGTCTGACCAAACTGTGGGAGGCAGTGGAAGACAGAAGTGCCTGGCATGCTCTGGTCCATGGGGTCACGAAGAGGCGGACATGACTAGACTCAACAACAACAATAATAATCAATGCTTTTTTTCTATAAAAAGTTTAGGGGTCCTCTCATTTTGACTCAAGAAAATCACAATTTTGTAGTTCAAATTGGGGGAAATAAATACAGTTATACCTCATGTTACGGTTGCTTCAGGTTACGTCCCACGGCGACCCAGAAGTACACGAAAAGGTTACTTCCGGGTTTCGCCGCTCGCGCATGCGCAGACACGCCAAATGACATCATGCACATACACAGAAGCAGTGAATCGTGACTTGTGCACGCGCAGACGCAGGTGGCGTTCTGCTCATGTTGCGAATGGGCTTCCAGAACGGATCCCGTTTGCAACCAGAGGTACCACTGTACAGTAAACGGACAAAAGTGCAAAGATGCACAAAATGTTTAGGGGCATGCGTACCCCTGGGTACCCCCCAGAAAAAAAGCACAAATAATAATAATAAATTATTGTGGGGGGTTGCGAGTTTGGCCCGGCTTCTCAAGTGTTTTCCAGCGCAGCATCTTGAGTCAAACTACGTTTGGTTGCAAAGGTTTGCTTCACCCTGACATACCTGAGATGTCATTCTCTGCAGATTTCCAAAATATTTGGGCTTGGGGACAATTCCAGAGAAACGCAGCCTGCTTCAAGGGAGCTGCCTGTCCGCCTTGGTCAGATCCAGGGCCGGATTTTGGTTTGATGTGGCCCTCAGCTTCGGAAGGGAATGGGGCCCTTTCTGTGTCCAGCTGTCCTTTGTCAACAACAAACTGTTGCTGCTTTTTGTGTTGAATATATGCTGTGTGGTAATTTATGGACCTAATGGGTATCTAAAGCCATCTGCACATAACAAAATATGTATTTTATCAAATTAATTGATGAACTGAAATACAATTAAGAAGAAGCATATTAACAGTGAAATAATTATTAAGCTCTAACTTTAAATGATTGGGGGCCTATTCCTTACATCACAGGAGCCTACACAACACAAAATACTGTTGCTGTATGTAGGTTTTATTTTATTTCTTTTTATCTTATATTTTGGAAATGTACATCCAGGTTTTTCCCCTTTTGGGGGGGGGCAAGAGAGTGGGGCCCTAAGCTATAGCTTGTTTAGCTTATACGTAAATCCTGCACTGGTCAGATCCAAGGCTATATAGTCAGGTTAATCTACAGGGTGATAAAGGCCAGCGGCCGAGAGTCTAAAAAGAATTTCCTCTTGCGCTTGGGCCTCTCTCGCTGGTTCCGTTTGGGGGAGCAGGCTGACCCTTGGGGGAAAGAGGGGGCTGGCCCAGGGGGGCCTCTTGGGGCCCCTGACTCTGCCTGTGACGCCTGTGTGTTCCTGATGTGGAGGAGAATGTCCCTATTTTCACCAGAGAAATGTTGGAGGGGATGTGTCTGTGGGACCCCCCCCCCCCGCCGGGCTGCCCTATAATAATAATACAATAATTTATTATTTATACCCCGCCCATCGAGTGTTAAAAACAATACAGCATTAACTATTAAAAACTTCCCTCAACAGGGCTGCCTTAAGGTGTCTTATAAAAGTCAGATAGTTGTTTATTTCTTTGACATCTGGTGGGAGGGCGGGCACCACTACCGAGGAGGCCCTCTGCCTGGTTCCCTGCAACTTGGCTTCTCACAGCGAGGGAACCGCAAGAAGACCCTCGGATCTGGACCCCGGTGTCCAGGCTGAACTATGGGCTGGAGACGCTCCTTCAGGTCTCCTGGACCGAGGCCGTTTAGGGCTTTAAAGGTCATCATCAACACTTTGAATTGTGCTGAGAAACATACTGGGAGTCCAATGTAGGTCTTTCAAGACCGCTGTTATGTGGTCTCGGCGGCCGCCCCCAGTCACCAGTCTAGCTGCCGCATTCCGGATTAGTTGTAGTTTCCGGGTCACCTTCAAAGGTAGCCCCATATAGAGAGCATTGCAATAGTCCAGACAGTCTGCGGGCAAGGAGGGTCTCATCCTGTGTGCCAGATGGAGCTGGTAGACAGCTGCCCTGGACACAGAATTAACCTGCTCCTCCATGGACAGCTGTGAGTCCAAAATGACTCCCAGGCTGCGTACCTGGTCCTTCAGGGGCACAGTTACCCCATTCAGGACCAGGGAGTCCCCCACACCTGCCTGCCCTCTATCCCCCAAAAGAGTAACGTATTTTTCGCCCCATAGGACGCACCTAGTTTTTTGGGGGGGAAATAAAGGGGGGAAATTTATTTTTCCCCCAGGCGTGGGGCTGGGGCGGGGGATGCCTGAGCTTCCCCCGACCCCAGCGCCCAGAACAGGCTGCTATCCGCAAGCCTAGGGAGCCCGGCGGGAAGTCACGCCCGTCTCCCCAGGCTTGCAGATATCTGTCCCCAGCGCCAGCCTCCGAACCAGGTCGGGGAACAGCGGGTTGCCGTGCTGCACCTCCCCGCTGTCCCCCGAGCTTGTGGGGCTGCCCGATACCTGCCCGAAGCCCGGGGTGCGCTGTGCAGCGAGCCCCAGGCTTCGGCATGCAGGCAGCTCTCCGCAAGCCGGGGGAGATTGGCGCCTTGGGAGCCCGATGGGAACTCCTGCCGGGCTCGCAAGGCTTGCGGAGAGCTGCGCGAAGTCTGGAGAGCGAGAGGGGTTGGTGCGCACCGACCCCTCTCGCTCTCCAGGCTTCAGCGAAAGCCTGCATTTGCCCCATAGGACGCACACACATTTCCCCTTCATTTTTGGAGGGGGAAAAGTGCGTCCTATAGGGCGAAAAATACGGTACTTCTGTCTTGTCAGGATTCAACCTCATTCCATTAGCTGCCATCCATCCTCCAACCGCCTCCAGGCACTCACACAGGACCTTCACCGCCTTCACTGGTTCTGATTTAAAGGAGAGGTAGAGCTGGATGGGGGGGGGCAAGGCCTGCACAGCTTGGTCTGGGCCCCCACCCCCCTGCCTGCTTGCCTCGCCCTGGCCTGGCAGCCGCCCTGCCCCCCTGCTCTCCCCAGGGTCCTCATCAGCGCCGTTCCCTCCCTGATTGGGCCCTTTAGGGTTGCACCTGCCGGCTCAGGTGTGTGGCTGAGCCCCAGGGGGGCGGACGGGAGGGGGGAGCCCTGCTGCGTTGCTAGGCGCCCGTGCGCCTGGATGCAGAACGCCAGCCGGAGAAGGAGAGAGAGGCTCTGCTGTGGGGCAGAGAGGGGGTGGCCTGCTTGGACCAGGAGCCTGCAGCTGCCAGCCCGTGCCAAGATGAATAGGCTGGCCAGGGTCTTCCGAGGCAAGGACAGGGAGGGAGAGGCGAAGCTCATCAAGACGGAGGAGAGCACCCCTGGAGCAGCCCCCAAACCGCGGTGAGGGGGGACCGGCCCCGGGCGGGGGGAGGGGCGTGAGTAAAGGCAAGTATTGGGGGGGCAGGGCGTGGGAGGCCCCATGGCGGCAGGCACTGTGCAGGGCGCAGGTTGGGCAAAGGGGTGCCGTGGAGTAGGGGAAGCATAGGACTGGAGAGCTGGCAGGGACCCCAAGAGTTTCCCATTAATTTTTGTTTCCACTCCGAATTTTTTCAGCCTTTCCAGTTTGAGGCTGTTAAAATTCTTGCGGCCACTCTAGCATGTAAAAATAATTCCCTTACATTCTTTGGTATGTCAGAGCCTAATATTCCAAGAAGGAAAGCCTCTGGTTTTGTTTTTGTTTTATAAACGAGATCTTTAAAACATTTTTTTAAAGTTCCATATAGATTTCCTCCCAGAACTCCTTAATTTTTTTTTTTGCATGTGCACCACATGTGATTCTCCACGTCTCCAACACTTGTTTGATACATTTTCATTCCTTTTTGGTGATTTTAATGCAGTCAAGAACCAACGATACTGCATTTTCAAAAAAAAATTCTCTCGGTGTGTAACAAGCAGTGAATTTCATATTAATTTCCCAGAGGTTTTCACAATCTTTCAGTAAGATGTTATATCCAAAGTCCTATGCCCATTTTATCATAACAGATTTCACCTCCTCCTGCTCGACTTCCCACTCAAGGAGGAGTCGGTACATTTTAGAAAGAGTTTTCGCTTTTGATTTAATCAAGTCATGCTCTAGTCTGTAATAATAATAATTTATTATTTGTAGCCCGCCCATCTGGCTGGGTTTCCCCAGCCACTCTGGGCGGCTTCCAACAAAGATGAAAAATACATTAAAATGTCACACATTAAAAACTTCCCTGAACAGGGCTGCCTTCAGATGTCTTCTGAATGTCAGGTAGTTGTTTTCCTCTTTGACATCTGGTGGGAGGGCGTTCCACAGGGCGGGTGCCACTACTGAGAAGGCCCTCTGCCTGGTTCCCTGTAACCTCACTTCTTGCAATGAGGGAACCGCCAGAAGGCCCTCGGAGCTGGACCCCAGTGTCCAGGCTGAACGATGGGTGTGGAGACGCTCCTTCAGGTATACAGGACCGATGGTGAAAGGCTGAACTCTTTTTCTGCTGCTTCTCTTTCATTCCCTTCCTTGGTTATGGGAGGTGTTTCCGTGAAATACTTTTGACACAGCCCTGTTTCCTTCACGGCTTCATACTTTGGTCCGTGAGCAAGGGCTGGACCTCAGCGTCTGGGCAGAAAGATGGGGGTGGAGACGCTCCTTCAGGTCTACTGGCCACCCATCTTCAGTCTAGATGGCCACCCTTCTTAAAAACCTCTGGTGAAGGTCTACCACCTTCTGAAGGATCGTTGGTTCAGGTCCTGCTATCTGGACCCGCAGAAAACAAACTTGTTCACTCTTCCAGGTGGCAGCCCTGGAGAGATTTGAAGATGGCTCCCACATCTCCTCTGAGTCTCCTCTTTTTCCAGGCTAAACAAACCCAACTCCTTTGACCGTTCCTCAAAAAGAAGGCTTGGTTTCCAGACCCTGGGTCATCTTGGTCTCCCTCCTCTGCCCCTGTTTCAGCTTGTCCACATCCTCCTTCAATGGGGATGCCCTGAACCGCCACCGGGCAGAGGCCCCAGCTGCTGTGTGTGTGTGATCTGCAGCCCCTCTCTCCCTGTGCCCCCCCAGTCTTGGGGACACACCTCAAACCAGGCTTTGCCCACCTGGTGCCTTCTCCCATCACACACACATCCCAGACACAGCTGTGTTGCAGGCCCAAACCTAGGGAACTCCCTGCCACAGGGATAGCCCCTGATTCGGAAGGACTGGACAAATCCTGCGAAGGTGGAGAGGGCTCCTTCCAAGGGCTCCAGGCCCCAACGGCCGTTCTCTGCCCTCCACCCCCAGAGGCAGCCATGCTTCTGAATCCCAGTTGCTGGAATAAGCCTCCCTTATCTCTCTCCCCATCGGCAAACAATCAGGAGCTTTGTTTCAGCACCCGTTTCCCTCTTTCAAAAAAAAAAAGGGGGGGGAAGCATGATCTGCTTTTTGCCCCTGGGCAATTCAGCTCCAGGGGCCACGCTTTTACTCCGTAAGACGCAGAGACATTTCCCCTTACGTTTTAGGAAGAAAAAAGTGCATATTATGGAGCGAAAATACGGTACTTGATCTTCCTGGTTTCGGATCTTCCCCATCTGCGCATACTCCATCAGTTTCGCCTGCCATTCTTCTTTTGGTGGTACTTCTCCTTCCTTCCATCTCTGGGCTGGTAGCATCCTTGCTTCCGTCGTTGCGTACATAAAATGTATTTTATCTTCTCCTGGTAGCCATTCACCTATTATACCTAAGAGAAAGGCTTCTGGGTTTTTTTAACAAATGTATTTTTAAACATTTTCTTTAGTTCATTGCATATCATTTCCCAGAAGGCCTTTACCAATGTTCTCCCCACTCCTCTGCTCTGCTCTCAGCCAGGAGAAGAAACGGATCCTGGACCCATCGGGGGACTATTATTACTGGTGGCTGGTCACCATGGTGTTCCCCATCATGTACAACTGGATCATCCTCATCTGCAGGTGGGCGGAGGGGGGCTGGCTGGATCCGCCTGAGGGGAGGGGGACGGGGGCTCAGGGAAGCCACGGAGGGGGCCCAGGACTGGGGCCAAGGCTCTCCGGCCGGGAGCATCAGCAGAAGCACGAGGGAAGGAAAGCGACAGAAACCCCTTTTGGATCCCTCCCTCCCTCCCCTCCTCCTCCTCCCTCCCTCCTCCCTCCCTCCCTCCCTCTCCCTCCCTCCTCCCTCCCTCCTCCTCCTCCTCCGATCCTCCTAGGCCATCCCTCTCTCCCTCCCTCCCTTCCCTCCCCCTTCCTTCCTCCCTCCCCTTCCTTCCTCCCTCCCGTCCCTCCTCCTTCTTCTTCCTTCCTCCCTCCCATTCCTCCCTCCCTCCCTCCCTTCCCTCTTTCCTTCTCCCTCCCTCCCTCCTCCTTCTCTCCTTCCTTCCTCCCTCCCTCCTTCCCCCTTCTCCTTCCTTCCACTCCCTCCCTCTCCCTCCTTCCTTCCTCCCTCCTCCCTCCCTCCCTTCTCCTTCTTCCTTCCCTCCTCCCTCCCTCCCTTCACCCTCCTTCCTTCCTTCCTTCCTCCCTCCCTTCCCTCCCCTCCCTCCCCTCCTTCCTTCCTTTCCTCCTCCCTCCCTCCCTTCCCTCCTCCTTCTTCTTCCTTCCTTCCTTCCTTCTTCCTCCTCCCTCCTCCTCCCCCTCCCTCCTCCTCCCCCTCCCTCCTTCCTTCCTCCTTCTTCCCTCCCCCTCCCTTCCCTCCTCCTTCCTTCCTTCCTTCCTCCCTTCCCTCCTTCCTTCCTTCCTCCCTCCCTCTCCTCCCTCCCTCCCTCCTTCCTTCCTTCCTTCTCCTCCTCCCTCCCTCCCTCCCTTCCCTCCCTCCTTCCTCTCCTCCTCCCTCCCTTCCTCCCTCCCTCCCTCCTCCCTTCCCTCCTCCCTCCTCCCTCCCTCCCCCTTCCTTCCTCCTCCCTCCTTCCTCCTTCCTTCCTTCCTTCCTCCCTCCTTCCTCCCCCTCCCTCCCTTCCCTCCTTCCTTCCTCCTCTCCTTCCTCCCTTCCCTTTCCCTCCTGTCATCCTCCTTCCTTCCTCTCCCTCCCTTCCCTGCCTTCCTTCCTTCCCTCCTCCCCTCCCCTCCCCATTTCCCTCCTCCTTCCTTCCTCCCTCCCTCCCTCCCTTCCCTCCTTCCTTCCTTCCTTCCTTCCTTCCTCCTCCCCTCCCCCCTTCCTTCCCCTCCCTTCCTTCCCTCCCTCCCTCCCTCCCTCCCCCTTCCCCTCCCTCCTCCCTTCCCTTCCTTCCTTCCTCCTTCCTCCCTCCCTCCCCCTCCTTCCCTCCCTCCCTCCCCCCTCCCTCCTTCCTTCCTTCCTTCCTCCCTCCCTCCCTCCCTCACCTCCTTCCCTCCTTTCCTGTCCTTCCTCCCTTCCTCCTCCCTTCCCTCCTTCCTTCCTCCTTTCCCTCCCTCCCTCCTTCCCCTTCCCTCCTCTTCCTTCCCCTCCCTCCCTCCTCCCTCCCTCCCCCTTCCTTCCTCCCTCCCTCCCCTCCCTCCCTCCCTACCCCTCCTTTCCTTCCTTCCTTCCTTCCTCCCTCCCTCCCTCCCTTCCTCCTTCCTTCCTTCCTTCCTTCCTCCTTCCTTCCTTCCTCTCCTTCTCCCTTCACCTCCTTCCTTCCTTCCTTCCCTCCCTCCCTTCCCTCCTCCTTCCTCCCTCCCCCCTTCCCTCTTTCCTTCCTCCCTCCCTCCCTTCCCTCTTTCCTTCCTCCCTTCCTCCCTCCCTCCCTTCCCTCCTTCCTTCCTTCCTTGCTTCCTTCCTCCCTCCCTCCCTCCCTTCCCTCCTTCCTTCCTCCCTCCCTATTTTTTACATCCCGTCCATCTGGCTGGGTTTCCCCAGCCACTCTGGGTGGCTACCAGAAAAATATCAAAAATAATGAAGTGTCAGACATTAAAAACTTCCCTGAACTTCCCTGTTCCAGCCACTCCCCCTTCTGTACTCCAAGCCCCCAATTCAGGCATCCCAGCTAAAGAATTCTTGACAGGTGACCATCAAACCTCCATTGAAGGAGAGCTCAGCATCTTCGAAGGTCTTCTGTGCCGCTGTCAAAGGGCTCTTGATACCAGAAAATTCCTCCTAAAGTTTGTTTGCAATTTCCTTCCTTGTCTTTTGAATCCAGAGGTTCAGGTCCCGGAAAAACAAGAAAGCAGTTCTGGGGGGGGTCCTTTTAGGAAGGGAGGGAGTTTCAAAGCAAACTGGGGGCCCATATTAACATTTTGGGGATATTCCTGGGGGGAAGGGGAGAGCTGAGTGGGGGTCTGCGGGGGGTGGGGTGGAGCAAGGAACAAGGAGAGAGCTTGGAGGGGGCTGCCTGGCTTTGGGGCAGCTGCTGCTGCAGTGGGCGGGTTGTGGGTTCGGATGCTGCCACCCATCTCTCTCTCCTTCGCTCCCGCGCAGGTCCTGCTTCCCTGAGCTGCAGCGCAAATACCTCTTCCTCTGGCTGGCCCTGGACTACCTCTGCGACCTACTGTACCTGCTGGACATCGGGGTCCACTTCTACACGGGTCAGTGGCCTTTCCGCCTTGGGGCCTGTCTCCTCGCCCCTCCTTATGCCCCCCCCTGCACCCCACCTGGCAAATGCTACTCCCCCTTCATCCAATGAAGCCGAACATTGAGAGATTCAGGACAGTAGTTAGACTCTGGAACTCCCTCCCACAGTAGGCAGGGATGTCCACCAGCCTAGATGGCTTTAGAAAAGATTGGACCAATTCCGGAAGGAGAAAGATATCAAGGGCTCCTGGCCAGGATATCTTTGTTCTGCCTCCACAGTCAGGGGTAGCAATGCTTCTGGATCCCAGTCGCTGGAAACATCCGGAAGGGAAGAAAGCAAACGTCCGACGGGGGCTTCTGATTGGATCTTCTTGCAGCCAATCAGAATCCGTGCTTTGTTTTTTTTAAATAAATTTTTATTGATTTTCCAACACAAATTAAAAACAAACAATACACAATACATAAACAAACAAACATATAAACATATATAATTTCAAAACCTCTTTTTCATAAACCTTACTTCCCGGACTTCCCCATGCCTCCCCTTTTCTGCATCCCTGTTTTAATGTTTCTTCAGCAACCCCTCAGTTAACTAACATCTCATTTTCTTTTTTACCTTCTTCTCTTACTTAGTCGGTTACAGCTGTAATTCTATATTTCCCATTCCCTTGACATTTTAGCACTCATTAATTTTACAACAGTTCTTAAGATATAATTAATTTTTACAACAGTTCTTAAGATATATTTTAAATTTCTTCAATCTTCTCCCACCGTCTCTTTTCCTTGGTCACGGATTCTGCCAGTCATCTCCGCCAGTCCCATATAGTCAATCACCTTCGTCTGCCATTCTTCCAGCGTGGGTAGTTCTTGTGTCTTCCAATACTTTGCTAAGAGAATCCTTGCTGCTGTGGTAGCATACATAAACACCAATTGGCCAACCATGCCCAGGAGAAAAGCCTCTGGTTTCTTATGAAAGGTACATTTAAGGACCTTCTTAATTTCATTATAGATCATTTCCCAAAAGGCCTTAATCCTCGGGCAAGTCCACCAAAGGTGATAGAAGGTACCTTCAGTCTCATTGCATTTCCAGCATTTATTATTGGGCAAATGATAAATTTTTGCAAGCTTGGCTGGGGTCATGTACCACCTATAAATCATTTTCATAATATTTTCTCTTAAGGCATTACATGCCGTAAACTTTATACCGGTGGTCCATAACTGTTCCCAGTCAGCAAACATAATGTCATGACCAATGTCTTGTGCCCACTTAATCATGCTTTGGTTTCTGAATGTTTTGGAAGTCTAACGGACTTCTGGATTGGAATCTGTCTGACTTCCAAGGTACGACTGTACATATTTAAAAGTTGACTTCCCGCCCTTCTTCCATGATAATAATTGGAAATTTGTAACAGAGAAATATATAATGTGGGAACAAAAACACTAGGAAACTTCTGTCCATAAGATCTGTTCAGGGCTGGATTTCGGTTTGATGTGGCCCTCAGCTACTGAAGGTAACGAGGCCCTTTATATGTCCAGCTGTCCTTTGCAACAACAAATTGTCGCTGTTTTTGTGTTGAATATATGCTAGATGGTGATTTATAGACCTAATAGGTATCTCAGGCCATTTGCACATGTTGCCCTGCAACCAGTCCATGCAGAATTTAGGCACCCTATATATAGAAAGGAGCAAACCAGGGATATTTGAAGGAGCAGACTAGCAGGCGGGGCCCATGACTTACATCATAGGAGCCTACACAACACAAAACACGGTTGATGTATGTAGCTTTTATTTTATTTGTTTTTTATCTTATATTTTGGAAATGTACATCTGGTTTTCCCCCCCTTTAATTTTTTTTGGGAGCCCCCCAAGAGAGTGGGGCCCTAAGCTATAGCTTGTTTAGCTTATATGTAAATCCGGCACTGGATCTGCTGAAATAGTTGGCCTATTCCTTCGAAGATCAGGTTCCAGCTGACCAGGCCCTGGTGCTGACAGAGAGAGGGGGGATCCTGGCTGCTTTCCTATCAAGAGGGTCTCTCTGACCCTACATTCCCCACCTTTGAAGGGTGAGGGGACTGGATGGGACCCTCTGGCCTGATCCAGCAGGACCTTCTTAGGTGTTCCGTTTGTTGGAGAGGAATGGAGATAATAATAATAATAATAAATTTTTGTTTATACCCTGCCATTCCCGGTTCAGGAAACCGGGCTCAGGGCACCTAACAACACATTTAAAACACTTAATTGATGCTACAACAACAACAAAAAAGCATAAAATTCAATATAAAACATGAATAACGATAAATTCAGAATTCAAAAATCAGTTTAGGGGGGAAATCCATCCAATAAACATTAGATGATCCCCAGGGCTAGCTGGCTAAGTTAGTCCTATTTGGGCCAGCGAGGAGACCAGGGGAGAATTGGCTGTGGGATTCCAGAGCGGGCAATGTTCATGAAAAGGGGAGGAAAGGGAATAAAAGATCAGGCTGAGTTCAAATGGAAAGCCAGGCGGAATAGCTCTGTCTTACAGGCCTGACGGAAGGAGGTTCAATCCTGCAGGGCCCTGGTCTCCTGGGACAGAGCATTCCACCAGGTCGGAGGCACCACTGAGAAGGCCCTGGCCCTGGGGGAGGATAGTCTGACTTCCTTAGGGCCTCTGAACTATGGTAATTCATGAACCTTAAGGTCCTCTGCCCGGGGCCGAGGGTCTCCTCTGACCCATCTCCTTCCCCCCCACCGCACCGCAGGTTTCCTGGAACAAGGCATCCTGATCCAGGACCGCTCCAAGATCTCGCGCCACTACACCTGCTCCTCCGCCTTCCTTCTGGACCTTCTCTCGGTGCTGCCCACCGACCTCCTCTACCTGCGCCTGGGCCTGGCCACCCCCGCCGTCCGGGCCAACCGCTTCCTGCGCAGCCCCCGCCTCTTTGAGGCCTTTGACCGCATCGAGACGCGCACGGCGCACCCCAACTCCTTCCGCATCTCCAAGCTGATGCTCTACGTCTTCGTCACCATCCATTGGAACGCCTGCGTCTACTTCGCCCTCTCGGGCTACGTGGGCTACGGGGCGGACGAGTGGGTCTACCCCAACGTCAGCATCCCCGGCTTCGAGCGCCTGCTGCGCCAGTACCTCTACAGCTTCTACTTCTCCACCCTCATCCTCACCACGGTGGGCGACACGCCCATGCCCCACCGCGAGGAGGAGTTCCTCTTCATGGCGGCCGACTTCCTGCTGGCCGTCATGGGCTTCGCCACCATCATGGGGAGCATGACCTCGGTCATCTCCAACATGAACCAGGCGGACGACGCCTTCGTCCCCAACTCGGACCTGGTCAAGGGCTACCTGCGCACCCACTGCCCCAACCGCCGCCTCCAGAACCGCGTGGTGGAGTGGTACCAGCACCTGCAGATGGAGAAGAAGATGACCAACGAGCTGCAGATCCTGCAGCACCTCCCAGAGCGCCTGCGGGCCGAGGTGGCCGTCAGCGTCCACCTGCCCACCCTCCGCAAGGTGCAGATCTTCCAGAGCTGCGAGCAGAGCCTGCTGGAGGAGCTAGTCCTCAAGCTCAAGCCCCAGGTCTACAGCCCCGGGGAGTACGTCTGCAAGAAGGGCGACGTGGGCCGGGAGATGTACTTCATCCGGGAGGGGAAGCTGGCCGTGGTGGCTGACGACGGGGTCACCCAGTACGCCGTGCTGGGAGAGGGACTCTACTTTGGGGAGATCAGCATCATCAACATCAAAGGTGAGCTTGGAGGGGGGAGGGAGAAGTGGAGGCGGGGGTGTCGTGTGTGGAGGAAAAACTGAAACACATTGCAGAGTTCCCCCCAAAATAGACCAGAGGCAATTTCATCCAGCAGAGCATTGCTGCCACTTAAGGCAAATGAGCATAATGGTCAGAAATTCGAAATCCGCATCTGAAGAAGTGTGCATACATATGAAAGCTCATACCAATAAGTTGGTCTCTAAGGTGCTACTGGAAGGAGTTTTTTTATTTTGTTTCGACTATGGCAGACCAACACGGCTACCTAAAGGGTAAAGGTAAAGGGACCGCTGACCATTAGGTCCAGTCGTGGCCAACTCTGGGGTTGCGGTGCTCATCTCGCTTTACTGGCCGAGGGAGCCGGCGTTCAGCTTCCGGGTCATGTGGCCAGCAGGACTAAGCCGTTTCTGGCGAACCAGAGCAGTGCACGGAAATGCCGTTTACCTTCCCGCCGGAGTGGTACCTATTTATCTACTTGCACTTGGCGTGCTTTCGAACTGCTAGGTTGGCAGGAGCAGGGACCGAGCAACGGGAGCTCACCCTGTCGCGGGGATTCAAACCGCTGACCTTCTGATCGGCAAGCCCAAGAGGCTCAGTGGTTTAACCCACAGCGCCACCCGTAAACAAATCCAAAACGTTCAGGATTGGCCCTGTCCATCAGGAATCCAGTTGCAGCAGACTTAACTTAAACTTAACAATAACTTATAATCAGTGCTTTTTTTTCTATGAAAAAAATGTTTAGGGGTACTCACCTTTCCCTACTCATATTGAAATACTGCCCCTCAGTGAGGCCAAACTTAGATTCACAAAATGTTTAGGAACAAAATAATAATAACAAAAAAAATCCTTCCAGTAGCACCTTAGGGACCAACTAAGTTTGTTATTGGTAGGAGGTTTTTTTTTATTTTGTTTCGACTACGGCAGACCAACATGGCTACCTACCTGTAACTAAATTGTTTAGGGGTATGCATAGCCCTGCGTCACCCCAGGGAAAAAAGCACTGCTTATATATAATAAGACTAAACCTTAAGGCTAAGCATACAGAACAGAACACCACAGCCAGAACAAAGGCGCCTCCTGGTCTGACTATTATAGTCAGCGCGATCTTGACAAAAAGGATAACAGGAGCACTTAAACCCAGCTGTGCTCAGCTTCCCAGAAGGAATAACCCAAACACCAGGAACCTTCCTTCTGCCTCTTTCTTTACATAGAAAGAAAGTTCCCAGAACCCTCCTGAACTACCGTATTTTTCGCCCTATAGGACGCACTTTCCCCCCTCCAAAAATGAAGGGGAGATTTGTGTGCGTCCTATGGGGCGAATGCAGGCTTCAGGAAGCTATACCCCCAGCCCCACAAGCTCCCAGAGCGATGCCGAAGCTGTGCGCAGAACGGGACCCGTTCTGGGGGCTGGGGTCAGGGGAAGCCCGCGCCTGGGGGGGGAATAATTTTTTTCCCTTTATTCCCCCCCCAAAAAAATCTAGGTGCGTCCTATGGGCTGGTGCGTCCTATAGAGCGAAAAATACGGTCATCAGAACAGGAAAGGTCTCTACACATCCAATCCGTACTTCCCGTACTAAGAAATGCAAACTGACAGGGGGATCCTCTCAACCACACGCCACCTTTGCAAGAACCTAAGAAGAGCCTCCTGAGTGAGGCAGGGGACCCACCTGGGCCGGCATCCTCTTCTTGCAGGGGCCGAAAAACAGCAAGCAGGACTCAAGGAACCAGAGCAGGACCCCTTTCCCGAGGTTTCCTGCATAGCTGCCTCCCACTGGGACGGCAGAACAGGGCCATTCTGGCTAGTAGCCTTTGATAGCCCTCTCCTCTTCCTCTTCCTCCTCTGTGCATTGGCCTAATCCTCTTTGCAAGCCATCCAAATCAGCAGCTCTCACCGCCTCTTTTGTGCCAGGAGCCAGCCAGCAGGAAACCACACTGTGCAAGTTGGAGTTAACTCCTTGTCAGCAAAAACAGGACCGACACAGGAGTGTCAGGCCCAGTGATCACAGTGGTTATTTTATTTATACCCCACTCATCTGCCTTGGTCACTGAAAAGCCAATAAACGCCATAGTGCAGGCACCCCCAAACTCGGCCCTCCAGATGTTTTGGGACTACAACTCCCATTATCCCTAGCTAACAGGGCCAGTGGTCAGGGATGATGGGAGTCCCAAAACATCTGGAGGGCTGAGTTTGGGGGTGCTGCCACAGACAGAGGGGATTCCCACAATCACTCATTTATTCAGCTGAGTGAAACAGAGGGGGCAAGCCACACTCACCAGCCTGATGGTGAAGCCGCGCCAAATAGCCTTTGTTCGTGCTTTTTATAGGCCTCCCCCCCTCCCTTCCCTCCCCCTTCGAGGTTCCTTGCACTGATGGAAACAGGACACCCTGCCTGGAGACCTTGACGGGGAGAGTTGCCTGGCAGAGGGAGGTTTTCCTGAAATCGCCTAGCAACGTTATCTGGTCTTCACATGAGTGTGGCTCACCCTCCTAAATTCTAAAGGAGGCAGTTTTTTACAGAAGCAAAATTAGCTAGGCTAACCAAAAAAACAGGACAAGAACAGGCCTCTGTGACTTTTCCTGAGACCCCACAATAGTAATAATAATAATAATTTTATTATTTATCCCCTGGCCCATATGATAAAACATCAGACATTAAAGACTTCCCTAAGCAGGACTGCCTTCACATGTCTTCTGAAAGTCAGATAGCTGCTTCTTGCCTTGACATCTGGTGGGAGGGTGTTCCACAGGGCTGGCGCCACTACTGAGAAGGCCCTCTGCCTGGTTCCCTGTAGCTTCTCGCAGTGAGGGAACCGCCAGAAGGCCCTCGGAGCTGGACCTCAGTGTCTGGGCAGAACGATGGGGATGGAGACGCTCCTTCAGGGCTACTGGACCAAGGCCATTTAGGGCTTTCAAGGTCAGCACCAACACTATGAATTGTGCTCGGAAACGTACTGGGAGCCAATGCAGATCTCTCAGGACCAGTGTTATATGGTCTCAGTAAGACTTTATTTTACAGAAAGGTTCGACCTCACTGGCATCCTCTTCATATTAACCCGCAGAGGAAGCTTTCCTTTTGGGAAGAATGAAATCCTTTTTTACTGAAAGGTTCAACCTCACCAGCATCCTCTTAATACACTTTGAATTGTGCTCGGAAATGTACTGGGAGCCAGTGTAGGTCTTTCAAGACCAGTGTTATATGGTCTCGGCGGCCGCTCCCAGTCAGCAGTCTAGCAACACATAAGCATCTTGTCTCCGGTGGGTCTTGCCCCCGTGACGGAAGGCCCCCCCGCCGCTGCCTCAGCCCCCTCCTCTCCAAGGTTTCTCCCAAGGAATTCCAGACGGTATCTGTGTGTCCCCAACATCTCCTCCGCCATTTCCATGCCTCTTCTGGAGACTGAGAGGGGAGGGGAGCTTGTCTCAGCAGGAGGGGGAGACCCCCCTGGCTTCTTCACCAGCCGGACTCCTCTCTGCCTCTTGGCCTCTTCCTCCCACCCCCAGGGCCTGATCCTGCATGTTCTGCTTATGTTCTCAGTGCCCCCGCTGAACTCGGTGCCCCCCTTCTCCCCCCCCCCAGGGAACAAGTCCGGGAACCGCCGCACGGCCAACATCAAGAGCATCGGCTTCTCGGACCTCTTCTGCCTGTCGAAGGAGGACCTGACGGAGGTGCTGGCCGAGTTCCCCAGCGCCAAGGCCATGCTGGAGGCCAAGGGCAGGGAGATCCTGCTCAAGATGGACAAGCTGGACGTCAACGCCGAGGCGGCCGAGATCGCCCAGCTGCAGGAGGAGGAGCGCCGGACGGCCGCCCTGGAAGAGGGCCTGGATGCCCTGCAGACCAAGCTGGCCAGAATCCTGGCGGGACTCGAATCCAGCGCCTTTAAGGTGGCTCTGCGCCTGGAGCGCCTGGAGTGGCAGATGCGGGAGTGGGGGGCTGAGGAGGAGGCGGAGAGGGAGGGGGCCGAGCCTTAGCCACCCCCCCCACACCCCACCTGAGGCAGTGAGGAAGCTGCCCACCCCACAGTTACAGCTGCCAGGCTGAGTCCTCCGGCCTACGATGCACATGGCCCCTGGTGCAGCCTGGGGGCTGGCGTGGGGGGGTGGGATTCCTGCGTTGCAGTCTAGATGAGCCTCAGGGGTCCCTTCCAGCTCTACGGTTCAGGGATTGGCTTTGGGCTTCAGAGCAGAGGCTGGACATCTGGCCATCAGGGATTCTGGAGTGGCGATTCCAGCATTGCAGGAATGACCTCTGGGAGTCCCTTCTGACCCACGATTCTGTGTGCCTCCACTCACGAATGCACTCAGCATAAGAGCCATCTCTGCCCACGTAATTACACAAAACAAATGAAATACAGTGGTGCCTCGCAAGACGAAAATAATCCGTTCCGCGAGTCTCTTCGTCTAGCAGTTTTTTTGTCTTGCGAAGCAACCCTATTAGTGGCTTAGCGGATTAGCGCTATTAGCGGATTAGCGGCTATTAAAGGCTTAGCGGCTAAAAGGCTATTAGCGGCTTAGCGGCTTAGAAAAAGGGGGGGGGGAGCAGGGAAAAAATTGCAAGACTCGGAAGACGTTTTCATCTTGCGAAGCAAGCCCATAGGGAAAATCATCTTGCGAAGCAACTAAAAAACGGAAAACCCTTTCGTCTAGCGGGTTTTCCGTCTTGCGAGGCATTCGTCTTGCGGGGCACCACTGTACCGAGAAAATCCCTGAAAGGAGTAGTAATCGACTAGAAATGTTATCTTACAGAAATAAACTAAATAATAAAAATCAAAAAGTTTAAGGAAAACCTAGAATTATACAAAGCCTTAATGGGATGCCATAATTCTAGGTTTCCCTTAAACTTTTTAATTTTTATTATTTAGTTTATTTCTATAAGATAACGTTTCTAGTCGATTTTCAGGGATTTTCACGGTATTCCATTTGTTTTGTGTAATTTCTCGGTTCCGTGACTGCCTTTTTTGTGGCCTTCTGCCAGGAAGGAGAAGTCTAGCCGCAACTTATCCCTGGCATTCTGGCTTTTGAGGTGCAGTGAGGGAGGGGGGAAGAGGAAGGTAGGGGGAGAGCCCCCCCCCCGAGCTCCGGCCTCCGAGTGGAGACTGATCCCTCCCTCCTGGCAGGTGGAGGGCAAAGAGGCAGTTAAGGGCTCTTTCCCTTTTTGCTTCCTAAGCACCAGTGATGGGCGTTGCTAGGCAACCTCCTCCTGCTCAGCCAATGCTTGGCTAGTTCTGGCCCTGTGGCCAGATAAATGTCCCTTTTATGTGGGGCATCTTCCTGGCTTCTAACTCTCCCCCCCCCCCCCAGCTTGCCTTGTGGACAAATGCAGGTTTTTCTGCCAGCCCAGGAGCTTTGGGGTGGGGGTGGCACAGGGAGGGCTGGGGTCCAGGTGCAGGCTGGCATCCCTCAGGAGAGCAGAGACCTGGGCAGCTGCATCAGGGCCTGGGAGGGGCAGGGAAGCCCCCCTGCCCCCCCCAAAAGTTGGGTCGGACTCTGACATGCCTGAAAGGGAGGCGGAGCTGGATGGATCATCCATAATACTAATCTGGTGTGGGTGGGTGTGGAGATGATGCAAAGCTTTGAGCAATAGACTGGCTCTTTTTGTGGTCCCCCTCCCCCAGGCGGGGGCAAGCGCTTTTCAGGTGAAGGCAGCCCAGAGCTTCCTTGAGGAGGACAGAGCCACGGGGTTGTCGAGTTGGAAGGGACCCAGAGAGTCATCTAGTCCAACCATAGCTGTCAACTTACAGATTTGAAAGTAAGGGACCAGCAGCCCCAAAAATAAGGGATCAGCAGCCAAAATAAGGGGTTTTGCTTTTGTAAAGAGTTACATACACTGGTAGGATTGACAGATGCTGTCAATCTGGCATGAGGCGGTTGCGGTGGCGGTGCGGCCGCTGAAGTGCCGCCCTTCTGCGTCCCTCCCCATCCCCTCCTCTTCCTCCTCCCTCAGGCCTCCTCCTCAGCTGCCACCACTGCTGCCGCCTCCGGGCTTGTGGGTGACGTGGGTGAGAGTCTCTCTCCCTCCCCCCCTCTCTCTCGGGCGGGGAAGGGCCAATGGAACTCCTCGCACCAGGACGATGGCGCCAGAAATTTAAGGGACATCATCAATAAGGGACAGAAGCGGGACACGGCGCTGGGATAAGGGAGTTTCCCGCCAAATAAGGGACAGTTGACAGCTATGAGTCCAACCCCCGGCAGGAATTGAATTTCACAGTCTTCCCTTCCTGCCTCTTTGTTAATGGTTGCTGGAGGTCCCTCGGAGTCCTGACAGGTCTGCTATGGGCCTGAGGGGGGGCAGGGGGATGTGTCCCTGGGGGGCCTTGCAAGCCTGGCTCTTCTCTTGCCCCGGCCCAACTGTTGAATATCTGTGTGAATTGAGAGCCTTGCTGAGATTTGGGCTGGGCTGGGTGGGTGTGGAGGTTCTCCGGATTGTCCTGGGCTCAAAAACGTTAGGAGATCCAGAGCTGCTCTTGCTGCAGCCTTGACTCAGGCTCAGTTCCCTTTGAGAAAAGGCGGCTGAAGTCTTTAGGGGCACTTTGTGTTCACCAGGGCCAGGGCCTTCTCAGTGGTGGCTCCGACCTGGTGGAATGCTCTGTCCCAGGACACCAGGGCCCTGCAGGATTTAACCTCCTTCTGTCAGGCCTGTAAGACAGAGCTATTCCACCTGGCTTTCAATTTGAATTTAGCCTGATCTTTTATTCCCCTTCCTCCCCTTTTCATGAAGATTCCCCGCTCTGGGATCCCACAGCTAATTCTCCCCTGGTCTCCTCCCTGGCCCAAATAGGACTAATTTAGCCAGCTAGCCCTGGTGATCATCTAATGTTTATTGGATGGATTTCCCCCCAAAATGATTTTTGATTTTATTGTTATTTACGCTTTATATTGTATTTTATGCTATTTTTTGTGTAGCATCAATTAAGTGTTTTAAATTTGTTGTTAGCCGCCCTGACCCCGGTTTCCTGAACCAGGAAGGGCAGGGTAAAAATAAAAATTTATTATTATTTATTATTTACTGTTGGAGCACAGATGGAGGGGCACAGCAAAAGCCCCCCCCCCGCACCCCGGAACACGCTGCTCCTGTATCAGATCCCATGGGGACACCTAGAGCCATTTATCCACCAGGGATTCTTTGGCTGTGATTCCTGTCTCGCAGGGGGTTGGACTAGATGACCCCTGGGATCCCTCCTGACTCTGCAATCCTGTGATTCTGTCTGACTCTCTGACTCTCTCTTCCCCCAAACTGAATTGAATTTTATTATTACGGTCACAGACTTACAATATCAGGAAAATCATAAAACACAACAGGAATACATTGAATTGCAATTGGGTATAACAGAGACAATTCAGATATAGCGGTAGTTAAAAATATATATTAAATCTTGATCACTAAAATATAACCTAAAATTGGGGTCCAGCAATCATCATCTCAATATACAAGAAAGGGAGCAGATTGGACCCTGCTAATTACAGGCCAGTTAGTCTTCTAAGCATTATCAGTAAACTATATGCTGCCTAGGGACTCGGGTGGTTTAACCCACAGCGCCACCCGCGTCCTTAGGCAGCATATAGTTTACTGATAATGCTTGTTGTTGTTGTTGTTTAGTCGTTTAGTCGTGTCCGACTCTTCGTGACCCCATGGACCAGAGGACGCCAGGCACCTCTGTCCTCCACTACCTTTCGCAGTTTGGTCAAACTCATGCTGGTAACCTCGAAAACACTATCCAACCATCTCGTCCTCTGTCGCCCCCTTCTCCTTGTGCCCTCCATCTTTCCCAGCATCAGTGTCTTCTCCAGGGAGTCTTCTCTTCTCATGAGGTGGCCAAAGTACTGGAGCCTCTTTTTCTCTATGCAACTACTGCAGCAAGAATCCTTATAGCTAAATACTGGAAGGCACAGGAGTTACCCACGCTGGAAGAGTGGCATACGCAACTGATGGACTACATGGAATTGGCCGAAATGACAGGCAGAATCCGGGACCTGGGAGAAGAGGCAGTGGAAGAGGACTGGAAAAAATTTAAGGACTATCTACAAAAGCATTATAAGTTATATGAATGTTGAGAATTTGCTAAGTTATTGGAAAAACATGCTTCAGTATGGAGATTTGAAAATGGGGGAAATTAAGTTATGATTGTGAAAAGTTCAAAATTTAGAGCAATGTTCCTAATATTAGGGATGGAGGATAGAAAGAAGTTACCTAACAATAAGTACTCTAAAGCTAAAATATAATCAGATGAAAATACAAAAACGTATGAAACAAGGTATTAATTTGCTGTAATTTTATTTTTTATAAAGAATGCAGGGCGCTGGGGATGTGGGGAAGTCCAGTGGATCATGAAAAATGTTTGAAATTTTCTTTTTTCTATCCTTCTTTCTTCATTCTGTAAAACCGCTTTTTGCTGAGTTACTGACGATGTATTTGACCCTGGAAAAAAAGCAATAAAAAATATTAAAAAAAAAAAAAAACAAAGTACTGGAGCCTCAGCTTCACAATCTGTCCTTCCAGTGAGCACTCGGGGCTGATTTCCTTAAGAATGGAGAGGTTGGATCTTCTTGCAGTCCATGGGACTCTCAAGAGTCTTCTCCAGCACCATAACTCAAAAGCATCCATTCTTCGGCGATCAGCCTTCTTTATGGTCCAGCTCTCACTTCCATACATCACTACTGGGAAAACCATGGCTTTAACTATACATCATCATCTGATAATGCTTAGGAGACTAATTGAGATTATGATTGCTGGACCCCAATTTTAGGTTATATTTTAGTGATCCAGATTTAATATATATTTTTAACTGCCGCTATATCTGAATTGTCTCTGTTATACCCAATTGGTATAAACCAGAGCAGCGCACGGAAACGCCGTTTACCTTCCCGCCAGAGCGGTTCCTATTTATCTACTTGCACTTTGACGTGCTTTCGAACTGCTAGGTGGGCAGGAGCTGGAACTGAGCAACGGCGTTTCCATGCGCTGCTCTGGCTCACCAGAAGTGGCTTAGTCCTGCTGGCCACATGACCTTGAAGCTGTACGGCGGCTCCCTCGGCCAGTAAAGCGAGATGAGCGCCACAACCCCAGAGTCTGCCACGACTGGACCTAATGGTCAGGGCTCCCTTTACCTTTATATGCTGCCCACTTATGTAATAAACTTGAGGATTGGATGGAGCGAGAACATGTTCTTACAGAAGCACAAGCTGGTTTCAGGGCAAACGTCAACTTTAGACCAAGGCCTAGTACTCCAACATCTTGTGGAAAAATATATCTCAAGAAATGGAGGATCCCTTTCATAGATTTTAAATCTGCCTTTGATTTAGTATCACGAGACAGGCTTTGAGAAAAACTAAGCGCCTCAAACATATACAGACGTCTACTGTGTCTTATCCTCCCCAA